CCCACACCATCTCCTCCTCCCACCCCCTCCCTCCACCTTGAAAAGAACCAGCTGCAAACTTTTGGCTTATTAAACCTCAAAAGGACAAATTGAGATAGGCAAGATTGCTATTCTATGATATTGGATGCCAACGGTAACTGTTATGTGCCTATCAACTTCTGGAAAATTAAGGTGATATCTGAAAAGTACTGCTTACCATGGTACGAGCAGATGTGGCATTGATAGATACCCGTTGTGGATCGACGAAGTGAGCCAGTAAAAAAGTCCAGTCGACCTGAGGAGGCGTTCGCCGGGGGTGAACTTCCATGCCTATCACTCGGCGTCGGCTGTTCTTGACCTTACGAAATAATCGCAAAGTGAACTCGTAATTACATTTAAGTGATTTTCATACCAATTTGTAGTTAATTGGCCAAAATGTGACTGCATGTCAGGTGTGAAAAGTTCAAAAAGAATATGTGCTTACTGATTTGGCTTTTATCGGATGCCGTTGATAGCCAGGAAGTAGATTTAAAGGAGGTAGGGGTAATCCTTTTTGGATCGCTTGTAGATGGGGTGCTGCCTGTAGACTCATTGATGTGGTTTGCATCAATTTCTAATTCCAAGGACCTTCGTTCGGGGTTAGTTGGATTTATATCCGGCCTGAAATTTCTAGCTTCGTTCAATGCGGTTGGAAATTGAAAGCCCATTGGGTTGATGGGCAAAGGACTGTAAAAAAATATATAATGTGGCGCTTTTAGATTTTTCACTATATCGATGTGTTTCCAGACCGATGCTGAACGTTCTCATTAACTTGTTTTTGTCTATGTGTACAGACAATGTGCTCCAATTTACTGTTAGCATTAATTTACAGGGTCATGAAGTCTGCATTTCTGGTCTTCAGCTTATCCAAAAACATTGGAAGGCTTTTATTGATCAAATAAAATTAGCTAGGCGCTGGGTACAGTTACCACGACAACATTTGGCTCAAAATACAAGGTGTAAGCTTTCAACCACCTTGTCTCATCAACGATGAGAGAAAGAGAGAAAATGCGAATGTAGCAATAAAAATTGAATTGGATTTAATACTTAAAAAAACAGAAGTAATGACCTTCCATTCAAGGATTCCTTATTATCAGAGTAAATATTCAAAAAACCCAGCACAATTTTGGCCAAATCATTATAATGCAACCTTCGAAAACAAATGCCCCAAAATCTTTAGACAATTTCTCTTTCTCTTACAACGTGCTGTGCTGAATGTCCAATCAAGGAAAATATGTAGTTATGTAAGATCACAAGTTGACTTACACTGACAGCGGATTAAAGGAACCTGATCTCTCCAACCGTCTGGCTACTTCCCCGAGAGAATTAAGGGCCTCAACCATTTGCCGAAACTGGGAACTGTCATTGTGCGATGGGGTTGTTTGGATTTCTGAATGTAAAATAAGGGGTTTATTACGACAATATCGTGGAATAAAATAGGATTGCAATTTCTCCGAATTCGCTAGTTAATTCACTCGCATAAAAACACGAAGCGTTTATAAGCATTGGCTAGCTAATCACACAAACGCGTTGAGATATTTATATCAAGAATCAATGTTTCTTTCAAGTTGAGCATCCTCCTCACCAACACCCCGGTACTCATATGTTTAAAATTAGCATACTTAAAAATTGATTGGTAAAAAAGAAATTGCACTCCCTCGTGGAAAGAAGAGATGAGAAGGATAGGCCTACACCAGAAATTATAATAATAAATGATTTAATGGAGCACAATGAACTTCCGCCAGTTAAAGAATGCGCTGTGCTCTCTTCAGAGAAAGCGACAAACAAAAACCACATTACATTTTTGCTCCCCGTTCGATTATACCGGAAGTGGCTCCGAGCCCTTTTGGGCAAAACAATTAAACGCTGACTTCCGCTCCAGCTTAGCTATCGGGTCGTTTGAAGACATGAAGAGCGCCTGCTGAATTTGCCGAAATTACGGAAAAATAATATTGTAAAAAGAACATTTCGATTATTCATACACACCCTAACGTAATTACGAAGCGTTCAAAGATATTGTTAAAACTATGAATTCTATTCTTAACTAAGCTATTGAACATTAGTCAGTATTTGAAAAAAAACAGAATTCATAACAACTAAGGAGCGTATATAGAATGAATATCCAAAAAGTCAAAACAAAATATGGAAATCGGAGAGAATTAATAGCATAGATATCAAATACGTAGAAAGAGCTAGAACGTACCACTCGAGTTGTTGGCCATTGGAATAAATGTGGATTATGTGTATTTTGGTGCCTTAAATACTAAGTGATTTGTGGTGGTTACTCCTGATTGGTTAGACTATAGTGTTCAATCAGCTTTTGGGACAAGATAGACTTATCGAGCAATATGATTGGTAAGTTACTGAAAAGCGTATTATAGCAATCAGCGCTTTCCTGCGATTGACCAATAAAATTGAAGCAGTTTGATTGCTCTATCAGGGAGGGATGGAAGTTCGGAACAGTTCAAAATTGTTGATTTAGAAATCTCAAAATTGTAGACGCCTACTCACTAAACACCTAAGGTAGTGGGTGCCCCCTATCTCTGTGGGCTTTTGTAAATAAATGATTTCCTGCAGCAAGTAAAAATTAAATTAATTTGAGGGATAATCCAATCGAATTACACTCATTTTATTTAATTGAACATTCAAATTATTAGGATTAAATCCAAAATTGTCATTTGATCTAGCCACAAACCATTTAAAAGTAATTTAAGACATTATCGAATCCTCAAAAGACGTTTAAGTCTTTAAAAATATTATCATTTATTGACTAAACCTCGTCTTTTTTCCACCATAGTAGTGTTCTAACGAAGTTAGTTAGTAGACCAACCATCTAGATATTGAAAAATTTATTTATTTATATCAAATGGCAGGCGTTTTGATAGTTATCATTAGCCCTTTAGTTGACTTCGGGCTTCACAGTGTGGAAGGAACATCAAAGTGAAAAAAGTCGAGATTGAGAAAGGGGGAACAGAAGAGTGTTTCAAAGACAAAGGTAGAAAGGGTAGAAAAAGGTGAGGTGAGTACTGTGGAAGTATTCGAATATGACAAAGAGTGGAGTGATGGTAGTTTGAAGTCAGAAGTCAACCGCCGGTTAATAGACTTTTTTGCCGTATGAGTATACGTTGCTCAGTGTGCACCACCTGGAGGTAAGTCTATCGCACACCCCAGATATTGAAAAATAGTAACGACTGTGGACTGGACGACCTACTCTATTCGAATTCTTTAAAATATAATGATGGCTTAATAATATTACACGCCATTGCAAATGCAAATTGTAGATTCAAAAATCAATTAAGATAGAATGTGATTGGAATAAGTTTAGTTAACCTTAGCAGATACCAGCCATCGAGTACTATTTTAAAGTCAAGCAAAGGGTAAATATTTTGACAACGGGGTTCTACTATTTGGCAAAATAATTATTTTTTTATAGCAAATGGCAGGCGTTTTGATGACTATCATTAGCCCTTTAGTTGACTTCGGGCTTCACAGTGTGGAAGGAACATCAAAGTGAAAAAAGTCGAGATTGAGAAAGGGGGAACAGAAGAGTGTTTCAAAGACAAAGGTAGAAAGGGTAGAAAAAGGTGAGGTGAGTACTGTGGAAGTATTCGAATATGACAAAGAGTGGAGTGATGGTAGTTTGAAGTCAGAAGTCAACCGCCGGTTAATAGACTTTTTTGCCGTATGAGTATACGTTGCTCAGTGTGCACCACCTGGAGGTAAGTCTATCGCACACCCCAGATATTGAAAAATAGTAACGACTGTGGACTGGACGACCTACTCTATTCGAATTCTTTAAAATATAATGATGGCTTAATAATATTACACGCCATTGCAAATGCAAATTGTAGATTCAAAAATCAATTAAGATAGAATGTGATTGGAATAAGTTTAGTTAACCTTAGCAGATACCAGCCATCGAGTACTATTTTAAAGTCAAGCAAAGGGTAAATATTTTGACAACGGGGTTCTACTATTTGGCAAAATAATTATTTTTTTATAGCAAATGGCAGGCGTTTTGATGACTATCATTAGCCCTTTAGTTGACTTCAGACTTCACAGAGGGAGAGGAACATCAAAGTGAAAAAAGACGAGAAGGGGGAGGGGAGGAACAGAACAGTTTCAAAGACGAAGTTAGAAAATGTAGAAAAATGGTGAGATGAGTACTGTGAAAGATGTCGAATATGATGTACAGTGGGGTGATGGTAATTTGAAGTCAGAAGCCAACTGCCAGTTAATGGACTCTTTTGCCGCATGAGTATACGTTGCCCAGGGTGCACCACGTGGAGGTAAGTCTATCGCACACCCCATTTGGCAAAACATCATTCAATCCGAATTGCTCGATTTATTTTACTTAGTTATTTCAAGGAAATTGTTTAAGATACTTTAATGATTTATCAACATCTACAAAGCCAATTAATTGTACAGGAGCATTTGTAGTGAACGGCATTTAAAAGTGTACAAGCTGAGTATTTGATAATTCATGAAAAAAAAGAAAATTGTTCACCCAGATTCAAGAGGCTAAATAAATAAATAAAGTTTGTTTAAAGCGGAAAACTGGAAGGTCTACAATATTAGTAGAAATGGACGAGTTCTATTGAGGCTTGGATGTTCTCTTGCAAGCTGGTGGGATGGTGGATTTTGGGGTGTGTCTCGTCTATTCCAAAGTTTTTTTTCCAGAAACTCATTGAACAATGTTAAAAAAATTGCATTAAGAAGTTTAGTTAAATTGTCAGTTCCACTTTTAGTATGAGAATAGCTTAAAATAAACTCCATTTTATTCTGATTTGTAGCGCCTTAGTTAATGAACCAATTGGAAATCCATTTGGCAGGTGTCGGACACGTATTTCCCTCACATTTTCCCAAAAGAGGCGGAGTTGGTTAGTATGAATGAGTCTTCGACTCACTCCGAAGTGTACACCTGTATTTTATTTGAAAAGGGACAGTGAGTTTAGTCACCAGTCATTGAACTTGAGTTTGAAGATAAATATAAATGGGGTTCTTGTTTTCCCAATCCATATTTCTCCAAAATTATGATAGCTGCTTTATCGCCACCTGTCGGCCATTTAATACCAGGTCAAGGGTTCGATTTTTCGCCAACACCCCTACTGCTAGAGTGTTATGTGTTCACCTATATACCACCGGTTCAGTTTCCCGTTTGACGTGATATGTAAAGGCAGAGTTGAAGTAATCACCCGCTTTCAAATAGGGGTGTCTGTCTTAGCAACTATAAAGAGTGGTTGTGGGGGGGGGGGTTAGGGGG